TCTGAAGATTGGTTACAATTTTTGCGAAATGTCGACCCAAAGGAACTGGTGGCTAAGACTAAGCCATCGACACGACCAGTATTTGGCACTGAGTTTCTGCCCCTTTCCGCACAAAAGGCTTTTGAAACCAATCAATTCAACTCAGGTTTGAGTTAATTTACATATAAATAACATTTTATAAACAATTTTTAACATCAATACAGACATCGACTTAATTGCGGGCATAAACTCAAACGAGGGGTCAATCCTGTCAGCCAAACATTTGCCCCCTTTTGATGAGACAATGACTATCGATCACTTCAAACATGGCGTTCAAGTGGCGGACAAAATGTTTCACGGATTGGATGTTCAAAAAGTGGTCGACTATTACCTGAAAGGCATCGACACAAACAATTCATCGGCAGTCAGACGAGCCTTTTATGAGTTTTACGGCGATATACAAATGAAATACCCGACATATCTGTTCGCCAAACTATTTGCTATAAATACCCAAAAGAGTGGAAAAAATGTTTACTTTTATGAGTTGACATATCAGAGTCAGGCATTTGCAGATATTTTTAAATGTGGTGATGAGATGTCGAGTGTCGCACACGGGATGGATATACCCATTATATTTGGATGGGGCTTAACCCCAGACAGGGCTCACCTGTTCAGTGATACCGACGCCCAGTTCAGTAGAGATGTGATGAGAATGTGGACTAATTTCGCAAAATATGGGTTCATTGAAAATTATATATAATTAAGTTAATAAATAGTTTATAAATTTTAAATAATTTTCATCTCATATATAGTAAACCGGATGATAAATGGCCGCAATTGTTAGGCGACAATAATGTGCCAAAAGTGAAGAATTTAAATCCCGCCCCAACTCTACCACCAATGGATGACCCGTACCGTCGCGTATATAATGAGTTTTGGAGTCAATATTTTTTGAAAAAAATTATATAATTATTAAACTTTTTAAATCTATTAATAATATTGTCGAATTAACCAATTAAATGATTGAGTTAAATTAAATTTATCAATAAACTAAGCATGTTAATCTAAATAATAATAGTCTTACTTTAGATTTTCTAACTACAACAATTAATAATATAAAATTTAATATTTTATTACAGAAATGTGCTTTGGTTACAGTATCTGCTAATTAATTAATTCAATGTACACTAAAGTATAAGAAATTAAATGACACAAATTAATTAACTTATTTTAGATTAATTATAGATAGTTAGTGCATTATGGATTTTTTAAAGATAAGTTATAAGTGCACTCAGGTTACAGTATCGTGTTTATCTTTGTTATACTTTGTACTTTTTTTTATAATTAAACACTTAATATCTTAGGGCTCATTCAATAAGTACGTACGCACTGGGTGGGGGGGAGGGGGGGTCAGCCAAGGCATGCGTACACAATGTTAAAGTTCTATGTACGAGGAGCGTTTCGGGGGGAGGGGGGGTCAATTTTTACACAAATTTTTGCGTACGTACTTATTGAATGACCCCTTATATTCAATATAATCCTGTGCAATCATGAAGCATAGCATTTACTAAAATACAATTGAACATATAGATAATTAAAGAAATTTAGTCAATACATTGTTTATAAATTATATCTAAATAATCTTATGATAGAGAAATAATTCTTTATATAATATTGTAGGTATACAGACAAACATTAGGCAGAAATGGTAAAGGTACTTTTGTTTTTGATAAGGAAGTAAACTCAACAGCTATATAAGCAAGCTCACAATAAGTAATAATTCAAATTTAATACATTTTTTAATTCAATTGTTTGGTTGTTTATAAATACAGAAAACAAATGAATAATGTTTATTGAAAGTAAACACTTATTTTATTTAATAGTAATTAATTTAGTTTTTGTTGTAATAAATTGTATTGAAACTAATGTTGACGTGAAAACCACTTCTGGTGTAGTGAGGGGTCAGACAATACAGGTATTGAACANAAATTGTATTGAAACTAATGTTGACGTGAAAACCACTTCTGGTGTAGTGAGGGGTCAGACAATACAGGTATTGAACACAACTATTAATGAGTTTTTAGGCATACCTTATGCCGAACCCCCGGTTGGAAAGCTTAGGTTTGCTAAACCAGAACCTATTAAAACACCCATAAAAGTAAGTATTATATGATTATACAGTTAATACATTTTGATATATTTATTTGTTGTTGAATTTCTATTAATATTGATTTTCCTTTATTTTGAAAGGATATAATAGATGCGACAAAACCAAAGGATTCATGCATTCAAAATAACCTGGATATATTTCCTAATCTTACATTTAGTGAGAATTGTTTGTTTGTAAACATATGGACACAAAATGTGGAAACCAATGACCCATCGAAACTAAAACCAGTTATGTTTTACATACACGGAGGAGGTTTAGCCGTGGGATCAATATTTGGTTTAAATGGCAGTGTGTTGGCCACCAATGAACACCACAAACGGAGTTGGTCGATATCTAACCCAGTTAATCCGAAAGATATACCCCTAGCCCTCCTGCGCGGGCCTTTACAGCCAAAAGTGCTGGTCAATAACCGTGACTTTACCCATATTTTATATGTGATTATAATTATTTTTGTTTTTACTAATTGTTATATAATAATAGGTCAGAGATAACATTCATGTCTTTGGTGGCGATAGGGATCAGATCACTATATTTGGTGGAAGTGCTGGTAGTTGGTCGGTGTCGGCGCACATATTGTCTCCACTATCGAGAGGCTTATTCAAGAGGGCTATTATGGAAAGTGGTATGTCTTTGGTGGCGATAGGGATCAGATCACTATATTTGGTGGAAGTGCTGGTAGTTGGTCGGTGTCGGCGCACATATTGTCTCCACTATCGAGAGGCTTATTCAAGAGGGCTATTATGGAAAGTGGTGCTCATCTGTACAATAAGGACAGGGATGTGATCAGCAAAAGTGAATCAATACTTGTGGGCAAACAAATGGTTAAGGATTTCAATTGTAGTGAATCTGAGGATTGGTTGCAATGTTTGCGAAGTATTGACGCAAAAGAGTTCAATAAATACTCAAAACTGATGACATATCCGGTGTTGGGGACAGACTTTCTTCCGATTTCTGCACAAAAAGCATTTGCAGACAAAAACTTTAACTCAGGTTTGAGTTTACTATTCAGTGATTGGTTTTAAAAATTTGTGTTTTATATTAATTTATTCAGATGTGGACATTATAGCCGGTATCGCCACCAATGAAGGTTCACTATTAGCATCGTCCTTTATACAACCCATTGGGAACACCACTTTGGATGACATTGAAAAGGCTATCAAAGCTGTTAATGATATTTACCATAATCTTGATGTTAAAAAACTTCAAGATTTTTATTTGAAAAATATAGACATAACCAGTCCATTGGCATTGAGGGAAGCCTTTTATGAGTTGGTCGGCGATTTAATAATGAAATGTCCCACATACCATTTTGCCAAACAATTTGCTACGAGTGTGCAAAATAAGAAAAATGTTTACTTCTACCAGGTTACTTATATGAGCCAAGCTTATGCTAAGCTAACACATTGTGATATCCCAGGGATGGGAATATGTCACTGTGCTGAGGGTGATTTTGTATTTGGCAATCCATTCATTACACCCGATATTTATAGCGATTTGGACAGACAGTTTAGTTTAGTGTTAATGAAAATGTGGACCAATTTTGTCAAATATGGGTAAATATAGTATATATTTTTATCCTAAACATTGCTAATTGTATATATTTATTTATTGTTCATTTAAATTATTTGGTAACACATAGTCAACCGGACATAGACTGGCCACATTTGTTAAACATTAATACAATTGATGTCAAAAACCTAAATCCTAACCCCAAACCCAATGTGTTTGTCAATCCATATGCGGCTACTTGTGATGGTGTTTGGAAAGACTACTTCTTGTAATCTAATAAAATGATTATTTTAACAATTTTTTATTAATAATAAAATTGTAATAAATAATTGGATATCTTTGTAAAATAAATGAATATTTGTTCATAAATTTACTTATTTATTTCTTAGAAATATTTATTTATTTATTTATCAGATTTTAACACAATAATAGAATCAAGCTATAAATAATTTATTAGTTATAGAAAAAATTTATGAATAATAAACTATATTATAAAACACGAATTATCAAATTAACAACAAATTATATAGGTTAACTAATTTAAAATTATAATATTTAACTTAAAAATAGTAAATCATTTGAAGTGGAAAAAATATAATACAAACTTTTGTATAATAAAAACCTCTTGACTTAACTATCAACACTATTGAATAAACTATTGTATTTACTAGTTATTGTATAAGGCTACCATAATCTATTGATAACTGAAAATAAAAAATAAGTTATAACTTGATTATAGCGTATTTAATCAATAATTAACATTTACCTTGAGTAGTCCATAAAGGAACTCATATCCATAATTCAGATAAAGGAGGTGTACTGTAATTGTTGATCCTAATTGCAATATGATTTATCTATTCATAAAATCATATAAATACTTCACAATAATACACATTACTTAAACATTTTAGTAGTAATACAATTGCTATTTATAACTGAAAATATTAATTAATACAAAATGTTTATAAAAAATAAAGTTATTATGAATTTAATAGTATTTAATTTAGTTTTTGTTGTAACAAATTGTATTGAAACTAATGTTGACGTGAAAACCACTTCTGGTGTAGTGAGGGGTCAGACAATACAGGTATTGAATCAAACTATTAATGAGTTTTTAGGCATACCTTATGCCGAACCCCCGATCGGGAAGCTTAGGTTCGCTAAACCAGAACCTATTAAAACACCCATAAAAGTAAGTTATTATAATAAGATTTAACTAATATTTATAATAATAATTATTATAACACTTTCTTAAAGGATATTATCTCAGCAACCAAACCAAAAGACTCATGCATTCAGCCTTTATCTCCGTTTCCGTTACCAAACTTGACTTATAGTGAGAACTGTCTGTTTGTAAACATTTGGACACAGAATGTGGACACCAATGGCCCTTCAAAACTAAAACCAGTTATGTTTTTCATACACGGAGGGGGTCTTAGTATTGGCTCAGTATTTACTGAAAGTGGAAGTGTGTTGGCCACCAATGATGTGGTGATTGCCTCAACCAGCTATAGATTGGGTCAATTAGGCTTTCTATATGGGGATCGGGAGGACGCGCCCGGAA